GCTGCTGGCTGCCAGTGTATAAAGTGAGCCTCTGTACACCTTGGGAGCTAAGCCATTTGCACCTGAAATGATGTCCCTCTTGCCCTGGCTGGCCCCTGTGGAGAAAAGGTGTCAATGAAGATCTCTGTGCAGTGGGTTTCTCCTGGAGTTCGGGTTCTGGTCACCACAGAGCTGTGGCCTTAGGGTGCTATTGGATTTGCTGTTGTGTGCTCGCCTCATCCCCAGCTTGTGTGTTGGCTTCTGTGCTGCCATAACGAAGTATCACCAGCTGAGTGGCCGAAACAACAGAAAATGATTCCTCCCAGTTCTGATGGGCCCAAAGTCTGAGGTCAAGGTGTCAGCAGGGTCAGGAAGCCTCTGAAGGTGTCAGGAAGGGGTCTGTGCAGGCTCTTTCTCAGCTTCTGGGAGAGCTCCCCGTTCCTCAGCTCATGGCAGCAGAGTTCCAGCTTCCCAGCGCTGTTCTCCTGTGTGCGTGTCTGTGTCCAAGTCTCCCCATTTTATGAGATCATATAAAGTCCACTCCACTCCAGCGTGACCTCACCTTAACCAGTTACATCTGCAGGGACCCTGCTTCCATGCAAGGTCACATTTGGAGGTACTTGGAGTTAGGGCCTCAACATAGGAATTTGGGAGGTGGAGGGACACGGCCCACCCCATGACAATGGGTAACATGCATTTTTGTTCAAATTTAAATAAATTTGGTTTTCAGTTTTTTGGAGAATTTTGTGAAACTCTGGAAAGTGAAAATACCAAAGCTGGTGACTATGTCACTGGAAATTAGTAACTCTTGTTTTTTTTTGAGACAGATTCTTGCTCCGTCACCCAGGCTGGATAGCAGTGGCACAATGGCACAGTCGTGGCTCACTGCAGCCTCAAACCATCCTCTCATCTCAGCCTCCCGAGTAGTCAGGACTACAGGCATGTGCCACCATGCCTGGCTATTTTTTAAAAAATGTATTCTTAGTAGAGACAGGGTCTCACTGTGTTGCCGAGGCTGGTTTCAAACTCCTGGGCTTAAGTGATCCTCCTGCCTCAGCCTCACAAAGTGCTGAGATTACAGGTGTGAACCACTGCATCTGGATACTATTTTCATTTTTATTAAATCTTTCATACATTTCAAAATGTACAACATTGCAAAATGGAACAGCCCAGAATAAAACATTTGGGTCTTTAAAAAATGTCTGTTGGATTCAGTGTGGAGGTCAAGCACGTCTGTCCATCAGAAAACTTGGATTTCTTTGGGCCTTTTCTCTCAGATCACGAAACACATTTTGTTGCTGTGTATTCTGTGAGTCAGGTCGTGGCAGCCCTCTCTGTGGGAAACTGAGCTACAGGAGATGGCTATTAGTAGCAGAAGCGGGACAAAGACCAGATTCCTGATTCAGCTTTTCTCTGGTTGTCAGAAATCCGTGGAAAATGAATAAGCTCTCTCCATCCCTCCTTCGCTCCCCTTCTCCCTCCATCTTTCCTTTCTAAGAGAAAAGAGACACTTCAGGATTGAAGAGGCAAGGAACACAGAGGAATGCCCCTCCTTCATTGGAGCAAGAGAGTAATTTTCACTTGGGACTGGGTTTCAGTGAGTTTCATGCCAGCTCATCCATCTCATTTCACAATGACTGTGACTTGGGACTCTCAAAATACTTCCCATTGCTTTATTTTGCAGAGTTTGATTCATTAACGACCCATTTTCATCAACGCTGCCTCAACGTTCTTCTTGGAAATTGGTGCTTTGGAGGTGAGTTTCTCAGAAATAGTTTTTTTCAGGTGGTGTTCTGTTGAATATGTTGTTCAGGCCAGGCAGAATGACTCAAGCCTGTAATCCCAGCACTTTGGGAATCCGAAGCAGGCAGATAGGCTGCCTGAGTTCAAGAGTTCCAGACCAGCCTGGGCAACATGGCAAAACCCTGTCTCTACAGAAAAAAAAAAAAAAAAAAGTGTGGTGGTACGTGCCTGTAGTCCCAGCTACTTGGGAGACTGGGTGGATCTCTTGAGACCAGGAAGTCGAGAATGCAGTGAGCTGAGAGAGTGA